TCTCATTTTTATTTATTCTTGGGCATCCCTGGCTTAAGTTGGAACCCCCAAATTATTCTTCTGACATATGCTCACAAGCTTCCTAGAGGTACTGGGTTGTATCAAATGACACACTAATCCATGGTTTATTGGATCATGGTTTACTTGGAAGGAGTCTGCTAGCTTCTTCCAAGTAACCTTTTTTTTTTTTTAAAGGCAGGCCCTTTCATGACTGCAATTCCCTTGATCAGGTGCCGAGCATTGCTAAACTGAGATAGGATCTAAACTGGAATGAGGTGAGGATGGCAACCCAGTTTAAACTGTTGAAGGAAAAGTTTTCATCGTGGTTCAGTCCAAGCCGGGAATAAACAACAAGGCGACTGCTTTAGAAAGAAGGTTGCAGTTTATTGAAGAGGAGAGCCAGACAGAAAGATGGCTGTGGAAGAAAAGAGAGAGAGCACATGTAGGGAGTGGGTTTTTATACCCTCTGGAGCCTTTTGCTTGGAGTTGTTCCTGTGGCATGAACTTTGACCTGTGTCTGGGTGTGCCCTTTGGCATCTGTGGGTTAATCCTATTATGTCCTGTCTTAGAGTTTGGGTGGGGTATGTAGATTTTAGGTGTCTTTGCCTTCCTAAGCTTCTAGCTGGAAGGCTCCAACCTTCCTGAATGGATTATTACATCTGCATTTCTACAGAGCTGGTTTCTGCTTGGGGGAGGGAGACTTGGGGCTATTAACATCAGCAGCTTTAAGATATGTAGACTTCAACTCCCAGAATTCCCTAACCAGCAGTGCTTTTTTGGTGGTAGCTCTTTCCCTATAGAATATTATTAATAAAACTAGCTGTACCTGACCACGCGTTGCTGTGGCTCAGTCTGGTTAAATGGAAAAGAAACAAAAGAGAAAGTGCACGTTTGTAATATGTTTAATTTCACAATGCTTGTGTCCAACAGATGGCGCTCTTTTTCAAAAAAGCATGTTTTTACCTGTCACAGGTGTGACATCTATATAATAGTAGGTATATAAAAACACGCGCGTATTCGAATGCAACGTTGTGTCAAAATTTCAAAGTAATCGGTGAAGAACTTTCGGAGATTTAAGATTTTGAACAAACGAACATTTACATTTTTATTTATATAGATAGAAGATAGATAGAATAGATAGATAGATAAAATACATTTATTCCCCACTTTGTTGCTTTTCCGACAAGCCCTGAAGATGGAGACGGAGCCGATCCAGTGGCTGCTTTGATTGCGATGCTGCTGTTGTTGCAGTGGCGTTTTTAAGTTGTGTTTTTTTAAATGTTGGAAACTGCCCAATCGTTGTGTGTGAGCTGAGCAGCCATATAATTTTATTTTTAATGAATAAATAACTCCTTCCCCCCCTCTCACAGATGTCACTTGAATGCAATCAGGGGCATCCTAGCAATCACAGCCTACATCTCAATATCTGACTGAATGCTGGTTTATTCGGTTGAAACATTAACTTCCCAGGGCACTGTGAATTGTTTGCACTCTGGAAGCATTAATGTTGCATTTACAAAACAGATGTTCCTTTTTATATTCCCAGGGATGGTGGAGGAAATTTCTGGGATAACAATCGAGGCCTCTATTTTTGTGAAAGTCAAATAACTTTCAGATAGACATTTGCATAAATAAATTACCAGAATCAGAATAGAGCTGGAAGGGACCTTGGAGGTCTTCTAGTCCAACCCCCTGCTCAAGCAGGAGACCCTAGACTGGTCCAGTCTCTTCTCTCAAGCTTCCTCCTTCTGTTATATATTCAAGATGGACAGTATTTAATATTTATTTGCTATGTATATGTAGGGGTGTGGGTCTATACATATGTTGTACATAGTATGTTTAGGTGTGTGTCATGTATGTGTTTCACTTTGAGAGTGGGCAACTAAATTTCATTTTTGATGTGTGCCATTGTGCCCACAGTAAAAAAATGACAATAAAGGTTATCCTATCCTATCCTATCCTATCCTATCCTATCCTATCCTATCCTATCCTATCCTATCTTTAAAAACCCCAGTGATGAAGCACCCACAACGTCTGAATGCAAGCTGTTCCACGGGTTAATTGTCCTCACTGTTAGGAAGTTTCTCCTTAAATCCAGGTTGCTTCTCTCATTGATTAGTTTCCATCCATTGTTTCTTGTCCTGCCCTCTGGTGCTTTGGAGAATGGGTTGACCCCCTCTTCTTTGTGGCAGCCCTTCAAATACTGGAATAATGCTATCATGTCACCCCCTAGCTCAGACATGTCAAACACAAGGCCTGGGGGTCGGATGCGTCCCGCGAAGTGGTTTCATGTGGCCCGCGAAGCCATCCTGGAAACAGTGAGGGAACGGCCCCCACTGCCTTGGCCCTGGCCCAGGCCGGGCGGGAGCCAATGTACAATTTTGTGGTGGCCATCTATGCTGAAACACATTCAGTCTTAGCTCCATAAGCCCCCCCCCGCATGGCCTGAGAGGAACAGTGAGGCTCCTCCAGTGGACCATGCCTTGGCACTTGCCCCGGTCCCACCCCCTTCTGCCAGAGACCCTCAGATCTGTCCCACTCCTGCCCAGGCCCCCACAGGCGCCCTTGACGCGAACTGTGTAGAGCTGGCCATACCCACCCAGTAGGCTACACCCACTCCATCCACGCCCACCCAGTAGGCCGCACCCACCCGGCCCCCTGAGGGCAACTGCAATGCTGATGCGGCCCTCAATGAAATTGAGTTTGACACCCCTGATCTAGCCCTTCTTTTCTCTAGACTAGCCAAACCCAATTCCTGCAACCGTTCTTCATGTGTTTTAATCTCCAGGCCTTTAATCATCTTAGTTGCTCTTCTTTGCACTTTCCCCCAAAGTCTCAACATCTTTTTTTGCAATGTGGTGACCAAAACTGGATGCAGTATTCCAGGTGTGGCCTTACTAAGGCTTTATAAAGCGCTACTAATGCTTCACCTGATTTTAATTCTACGCCTGTGTTTATACAACCAAGGACTGTATTTGCCTTTTTGGCTGCTGGCACACGCTGCTGGCTCATGTTTAAGTGATCGTCCACTAGCATACCAGCGGCACACGTTTTGTTACATTTCTAATTATCCACCACCAGAGCTTGGTCTGTTAATTAGAAACTCCGGGATTTATTTATTTATTCCCATGAATAAGGTCCGTAGCCTGAAAAAACAACAACCAAACCCTGAAAACGGAGAGCATGGATCGTGGTTCTTGGTGCTGTGTGCTCTATCGCCACTAGAGGGTGCTAGAGCAAAGGTACTTTTCAAAAGACAACCGGACTTTGTTTTTTCTTTGAAAAAGACAAGGGAGGAGGGGCGAAATTCACATTGGGTCAAAGAGGAGCGAACTAACCCACGTCTCACAATACTTCCGATTCCCAAAGCCAACAGTAATATTGATTGATGTCTAGGGAGATTCTCAGTCATCCAGATCAAGATTAGCCCAAGATTGGACTTTGTTGCCTTTTGAAAAAACACCTTTGGGATCGATTGATTGACTTTATATGGTTGCTCACTCACTCTCAGGGATTTTAGGGTGGCTTACAAATAAAGACGCTTGCTCCTGGGGAGGAAAGCTATGGCAAATCTAGACAGCATACTAAAAAGCAGAGACATCACCCTGCCAACAAAAGTACGTATAGTCAGGGCCATGGTTTTCCCAGTTGCAATGGATGGCTGGGAAAGTTGGACCATAAGAAAGGCTGAGCGCCAAAGAATGGAGGCCTTTGAACTCTGGTGCTGGAGAAGACTCCTGCGAGTCCCCTGGACTGCAAGGCGATCCAACCGGTCAGTCCTAGAGGAGATTAACCCCGACTGCTCTTTAGAAGGCCAGATCCTGAAGTGGAAACTCAAGTACTTTGGCCACCTAATGAGAAGGAAGGACTCCCTGGAGAAGAGCCTAATGCTGGGAAAGATTGAGCGCAAGAGAAGAAGGGGACGACAGAGAAGGAGGTGGCTGGATGGAGTCACTGAAGCAGGAGGCGTGAGCTTCAATGGACTCCAGAAGATGATAGAGGACAGGAAGGCCTGGAGGAATGTTGTCCATGGGGTCGCGATGGGTGGGACACGACTTCGCAACAACAACAAATAATAAACTTCCTGGGGGTGGGGGAGATCTGCGTGGGGGGGACACACCCCAGGATGAAATGCTTGTGATAAATGCCTTGCTTTTTCTTGCCCTCTTTCTTCTCAAAAGGGCAGGAATGAAATGGTGACACCCTGTCAACCACTGAAGGAGACGACCATTTTAAAATAAAATCTAATACAAGTAACCCTCGACTTATAACAGTTCATTTAGGGACCGTTCAAAGTTACATCAGCATCGAAAAAAGTGACTTATGACTGTTTTTTTCACACTTAGAACCATTGCAGCATCCCCAGGGTTCACCTGATCAAAATTCAGATGCTCGGCAAGCGGTTCCTATTTATGACGGTCCCAGCGGCCTGGAGTCACGTGATCCCCTTTGGCAACCTTCGGACGAGCAAAGTCAATGGGAGAAGCCGGATTCAATTAATGATCACGTTACTAACTTAACAACCGCAGAGGTGCAACTTGTGGACTTCAATACCCAGAATTCCTGAACCAGCCATGCTGACTCAGGAGTTCTGGGAGTTGAAGTCCACAAGTCACAAAAGAGCCAAGGTCGCCTACCCCCTGGTATAGGGTCTCCTGCTTGAGCAGGGGGGTTGGACTAGAAGACCTCCAAGGTCCCTTCCAACTCTGTTATTCTGTTGGGAGACTTAACCACTGTGGCAAGAAAGCTGGTAAAATGGGGGCACTTAACACACGTTTCACTCTTAGCAGCACCAACGTTGGGCTCGATTGCGGTCGTAACTCGAGGACCGCCTTCCGGCCGCTCCTTTCCACTTTCTCAAAAGAGTCCATCGCGAACCCGAAGTTTGAAACGGCGCCTTGTCTTTCTCCTCCCCCCCCCTCTCCCCACTCGCGCTCCTTTACCTCTTGGCGGGGCGTGGGCCGACGCTTCTTGATGACGTCCGGCAGGCCGGAAAGGAAGCGTCGGTGGCGTGTGACGTCGCACCGTCAAGCCAGAGAAGCTGCCGCGGTGGTTGTTTTCCCCTCCGCCGCCGTAGCCGCGCAACGGTCCCCGGGCCTGGGCGAGATGGAGAGCGCCAGCCAGGGTAGGGGCCGCCGGGGAGGGCCGTGGCGGGGCTCTGGGCCTCGTCCGGGGGCTGCGGGGCTTCATCCTTCCGAAGGGGCCCGGGGGGGGTGGCGTCTCTCGCCTGGCTGGCCGTCCCTGCAAGTAGAAATCTAGCATGTTGGGCTGGATTTCTAGGTGCAGGGGGCGGCCTCCATTTTTGTTTGGGGGGGGTTAGGGGGTCCAGCGTCTCAGAGGGGCAGGTCAGCCCCCTCCCCAAAGGGAAGAATGGTGGGAAATGGGGCCGGGGGGGGTTCCTGGGGGGGATGAGGACCCTGAGCGAAAAGCATAAGGGGGAAGGGAGTCTTTTATTTTATTTTATTATTTATTATTTTATTTATTATTTTATTATTTTATTTTATTATTTATTATTTTATTATTTCCTTTATTGTATTATTTTGATTTTACTATTTCAGTGTATTGTATTTTTTTGGGCATTTCATTTTATTGTATTTTTTATTTTGGCATTTCGTTTTTATCCCATGTTATTGTTTTTTCATTTTCATTTTTTTTTTAAATTTTACTTCATTATATTTTTTGTTTTATTTTGTTTTTTATTGTTTGCTTTATTATATTTTGTTATTTTTTTTTGACGTTACTATCTCATTGTATTGTATTTTTGGGGGCATTTCATTTTATTGTATTTTTTTATTTTGGCATTTCGTTTTTATCCCGTTTTGTTGTCTTGTTTTTTCATTTTCATTTTTTTTTTAAATTTTACTTCATTATATATTTTATTTTATTTTGTTTTTTATTGTTTGCTTTATTATACTTTGTTATTTTATTTTGACGTTACTATTTCATTGTATTTTTTGGGCACTTCATTTTATTGTATTTTTTATTAGCATTTCGTTTTTATCACCTTTTATTGTCTTGTTTTTTCATTTTCATTTTTTTTTTAATTTTACTTCATTATATTTTTTACTTTGTTTTGTTTTTTATTGTTTGCTTTATTACATTTTGTTATTTTATTTTGACGTTACTATTTCATTGTATTGTATTTTTTGGGCATTTTATTATATTTTTTTATTTTGGCCTTTCGTTTTTATCCCATTTCGTTGTCTTGTTTTTTCATTTTCATTTTTTTTTAAATTTTACTTCATTATATATTTTATTTTATTTTGTTTTTTATTGTTTGATTTATTATATTTTGTTATTTTATTTTGACGTTACTATCTCATTGTATTGTATTTTGGGGGGCATTTCATTTTATTGTATTTTTTATTAGCATTTCGTTTTTATCACCTTTTATTGTCTTGTTTTTTCATTTTCATTTTTTTAAAAAATTTTACTTCATTATATTTTTTACTTGGTTTTGTTTTTTATTACCGGTATTTGCTTTATTATATTTTGTTATTTTATTTTGACGTTACTATTTCATTGTATTCTATTTTTGGGGCATTTTATTATATTTTTTTATTTTGGCCTTTCGTTTTTATCCCATTTCGTTGTCTTGTTTTTTCATTTTCGTTTTTTTTTTAATTTTACTTCATATTTTTTCTTTCTTTTTTTATTGTTTGCTTTAGTATATTTTATTATTTTATTTTGACATTGCCATTTCATTTTAGCATTGTATTTTTTTAGTTCAGCGTTTCATTTTTATGACATTTTATTGTTTAATTTTTTCATTTTAATTTTTTTAAAAATTTTGTTTCATTATATTTTTTGTTTTATTTTTATGTGGTTTTCCCCCTATATTATTTCTGCTTTCTGTAGCCTTTGGGATGGCCTTTCCTGCAGTCCCTTCCTCTCCCCCCCCCCCCGGAGGGATTGTGGGAAGTGGATCCCAGAACTGGACCCCCCACCTATTGCAAAGAGAAGTGGGGTAGGAGGGGGCCCACTTGCCCTCCCCTCCAAATCCAGGGATTGGGGTGCTGGAGGAGCTTTAAGATGGAAGCCAAGACCTCGAATAGGCCTTTGGATTAGGTTAGAGCAGCTGGCCGGGCGGGTTTGGCCTGGCCACGATGGCCTGGGGGGGGCAAGGGGCAAGGGGAGTCTGGAACTCAGAGTTTACTAAGGGAGTAGGAAGGCCCCCCTGGAAGGAGGGGAAACTGAGTCTGGTTTGGGGTTGCTGGAGGTTTGCAATCTTGGGGACGGGGGTCAACTTTTGCAGCTTTAATCTCTCTCTGATTTTCCCCAGTTGTTTGTCACATAGCTTTGATGGTTTAGAGCAGGGGTCTTCAAACTTGGCCACTTGAAGCCTTGTGGACTTCAACTCCCAGAATTCCTCAGCCAGGAATTCTGGGAGTTGAAGTCCACAAGGCTTCAAGTGGCCAAGTTTGAAGACCCTTGGTTTACAGCTGGTGTTTTTTTCAAACTTGTTAACTTGAAGATGGGTGGACTTCAGCTTCCAGAATTCCCCAACCAAGCAAGGCTGGCTGACGAATTCTGGGAGTTGAAGTCCACAAGGCTTCAAATGACCAAGTTTGAAGACCCTTGGTTTAGAGCTGTGTTTTTTTCAAACTTGTTAACTTGAAGATGGGTGGACTTCAGCTTCCAGAATTCCCCAATCCAGCAAGGCTGGCTGGAGAATTCTGGGAGCTGAAGTCCACCCATCTTAACATTGAGAAAGGCTGTTTTAATTTGTCCGGGCCACCCAGTGAAAAGTAACTTCTTCACATCCAGTGTAAAACACAGAATAAATCACCCCAAATTGGACAAAAGTCTTTATTTGTGTTGGGTAACACCACCTTGACTCCGTTACCCAATCGCAACAGGGATATTTACATTGCTTTAGTGCAGTGTTTCTCAACCTTGACAATTTTAAGGCATGTGGACTTCAACTCCCAGAATTCCACAGCCGGCAATGCTGGCTGTGGAATTCTGGGAGTTGAAGTCCACATGCCTTAAAATTGTCAAGGTTGAGAAACACTGCTTTAGTGCAATGCTTCTTAACTTTTTTTTTTTTAAAAAAAGGACAGGGCACAACCCAACTGATGCTAGATCCTCTTTTGATTGGTCAATGGCGTCTGCAGGTGATTGACACCTGGTTCACGCCTCAGTCCTTTTGACAAATCCTCCCAAATTTTGAAGGAACAGTGGGTTACATCTTGCAACCCAGTTCAACTACTACACGGTCAATGTCTCTTTCCCCGTATACAGCAAGGGGGAAACGTGTCCCAGTATTTGATGAATTCCTCTCTTACTTTGCTCCTTTAAAAGTTATTTTTTAATCAAAAAGAACAGTAAGGGAAGGCAACATGTTAAAAAAAAAACAAAGCTCCTTTTCTTACTTTTTTAAAAAAAAAGAAAGGAAAAATAATGGGTAATCCTAGAGCTGTTGTTTTTTTTTCAACCTTAGCCCCTTTAAAATGGATGGACTTCAAATCCCAGAATCCCCTAGTCAGCAGGCTTCAAACCAACAAAATCAATTGGAGGAAACAGATTTGCTTACCGACCGCAAGATTCACTTTTAAGAACTGCAGTGATTTGTTTAACAACAACACCAAAAAGTTTGTAAAAATGAGGTGCTTGCCTGAGAATTGCCTTGCTTAGCGGCAGGAATTTTGGACTCCTTTTTTTGGTCGTATAGCGAGGACTGTACATGTTTTTCATCTGGGACCCCCTTGAAATATCCTAGGGCCTCTAGTTGAGAACCGCTGGCTTAAAGCACAGAACGTAAAATTGCACTACAACAGGCCTCTGTTCCACATAAGCCTTGAGTTTCTAAAGGCCTTCTAATGTTGGCTCTTGTTACAGTTGCAGCTGTGTGTTTTAGAGGGTGTGGGTGCCTGTGTGGCCTTGTGTATCTTGAGTGTGCAGCTGTTCTCTGCCCACTCTGTACGTAGAGTCTGCCTACCTAAGTATTAGTGAGATAATAAGCATCTTGAGGTTCCAAAAGTCTAGAAAAATCTTTGAATTTGCTCTGATACGGCTTGGAGCAGTTTTTTCTCCACCTCGGCAAGTTTAAGGTGGGTGGAACTTCAACTCCCAGAATCCCCCAGCCAGCTATAACTGGGCTCCTACTTGAGCGTGCGTAGGGAAGGAAATGAGAGATATAGAAGCTGTTGAAATGCATGTAGTCCTCGAGGTACGGCCACAACTGAGCCCCAAATTTACGTTGCTAAGCGAAACATTTTTGTTAAGTGAGCTTTGCCCCCTTCATAAGTGAAACACTGCAATGGTTAAATGAGTAACACAGTTGTTAAGTGAATCTGGCTTCCCCATTGACTTTGTCAGAAGGTCACAAAAGGGGGTCACGTGACCCCGGGCCACTGCGACCGTCATAAATACGAATCGGTTGCCAAGCGTTTGAATTTTGACCCTGTGACCCTGGGGGATGCAGCAACGGTCATAAGTGTGGGAAACGGTCACAAGTCACTTTTTTCCAGTGCTGTTGTAACTTTGAACGGTCACTAAATGGACTGTTGTAAGCCGAGGACTATCTATATACCCTGTTGTACCTTCTTTCATGTCTACATATAAGCGTAAATTATGATGCAGGGAGAGACAAACATCTATTAGGCAGGTATAGCTAGGTACCACTTAACTATGTCTCCCAATAGAAAAAAAAATATTGTGGTAATATGGGTGGTCAATAAATTTTACAAATGCATAAATATTTGCAACTCGGGGTTGAAGTGTCAGGTCTGTGGTGCTCCCCGAGTTGGTTGTTTTCTTGCAAAGAGATTTTATTGCCCAGTTAAATCTCAACTGGTGCAGCAAACCATAGAACAATTAAGGAACTGCTCTACTAACTCAGATAAGCAATCAAAGAATAAACAGCCTAATCAAGGAACGACTAAGAACACTCCTGACAGAACAATTAGCCAGTGGAACAACCTGCCTCCAGAAGCGGTGAATGCTCCAACACTGGAAGTCTTTAAGAAGAGGCTGGACAGCCATTTGTCTGAAATGGGATAGGGTTTCCTGCCTGGAGGGTTGGACTAGAGGATCTCCAAGGTCCCTTCCAACTTTATTATTATTATAATAAGGTCTGCAGCCTGAAAAAAACACCAAACCCTGAAAACGGAGAATATGGATCGTGATTCTTGGTGCTGTGTGTTCTATCGCCACTAGAGGGTCCCTTCCAACTTTTTATTATTATTATTATTATTATTATTATTATTATTATTATTATTATTATTATTATTATTATTATTATTCCCACCAACAGTGGAAGGGAAGCCGCTTGTATAGAAACGAGAGCAGAACCCCACACCCTTCTAGCACGGATGATGTTACCTAGTTTGGTAATGAAACGTCTGCAAGAAAACAAACTCAGGGAATACCAAAGGACCCCACAGTCCTGCTTCGCTCTGCCAACCCCTTCTAGCACTGACGATGTTACCTAGTTGGGTCATGAAATGTCTGCAGGGAACCGAGCAAGCTCAGAGAGCACCGAGGACCCCATTTACTATGTCTCCTTGGCCGGGACACAACCTGGCCACGTCTGTTTGTTTTGAATTGTTTTCAACAATGCCTGTGGGTCCTGGCTGTGCTGTAGCCCACAGAATAAGTCACTCCCACAGTCTCAGCCAAAGGACAAGGACGTGTCCCATCCCCCGTGTTGAATAACAGGCTGGGAAGGGACCTTGGAGGTCTTCTAGTCCAACCCCCTGCTTAAACAGAAGACCCTATATCACTTCAGACAAATGACTGCCCAATCTTTTCTTAAAAACCTCCAGTGTTGGAGCACCCACAACTTCTGGAGGCAGGTTGTTCCACTGGTTAATTGTTCCAACTATTGGGCAATTTCTCCTTAGTTCTAGGTGTCATGGTTCCGAAAGATGAAACTCTTCAAAGAACTTTGAGGCATTGTTTACCTTAAAGAATCTTTCATCCAGCAGCATAGCTTCGGTATGTACATAGTTGAAGCCAAAATCTGACTTCCCCTCCCTCCAGCACAGTGTTTCTCAACCTTGACAATTTTAAGGCATGTGGACTTCAACTCCCAGAATTCCACAGCCAGCATTGCTGGCTGTGGAATTCTGGGAGTTGAAGTCCACATGCCTTAAAATTGTCAAGGTTGAGAAACACTGCTCCAGCACATAGATCAAAGCACAGTTCCCTCCTACAACAGTCATAAATCACATTCTCCAATTAGTTTGAAATGCTGGCTTCCCGCCCAGTTTGCTCTCCCCGCCATTCTTTACCAGCTCTTGTTACACTAGGTTGTTTCTCTCCTTAATTGGTTTCAATCCGTTGCTTCTTGTCCTGCCTTCTGGTGCTTTGGAGAATAGCTTGACCCCCTTTTCTTTGTGGCAGCCCCTCAAATGTTGGAACCCTGCTATCATGTCCCCCCTCGTCCTTCTACTCACTAGACTAGACCTACCCGCTTCCCGCTTCCATTCTTTATATGTTTTAGCCTCCACTCCGCTGATCATCTTTGTTGCTCTTCTCTGCACTCTTTCCAGAGACTCGACCTCTTTTTTTATATCGTGGTGGCCAAAACTGGATGCAGCATTCCGAGTGTGGCCTTGAAAGCAGATACCACATCGGTACTGTTGAACTGGGTTTATCGTGTGGCTTGTGGGTTGCGAGTCTCGAAACACAGGTGTCCTTGCGCTAACCCCCTCTTCCGTCCCTCTTTTCTGTACTGGCGGCTTCTGCTTGATTAACCTATCTGCCTTTTCTCTGCTTATCCTTTCCCTCCCTTTGCTTCTTGTCCGTGACAGATATCAACCTTAACTCTCCTAACAAAGGTCTCCTGTCGGATACCATGACCGATGTACCCGTGGACAACCCCAGTGCCGCTGCCATGGCTGCCCCGTCCAGGACCTTACCCTACAACGGTCTCACCGAAGCCGAGGAAGAAGAACTAAGGTCTGAGCTGATCAAGGTAAACGTTGCCTTCTGTCCGTTCTTGGAAGCTTGCTCAGTCTCAGCAACCTTGTTTGGTCTAGGGCAGGGGTAGGCGACCTCAGCTCTTTTATGACTCGTGGACTCCAACTCCCAGAATTCCTGAGCCAGCCATGCTGAGGGGAAAGGGAGAGGCTTCCAAGCTGAGCCATGCTGGCTCAGGAATTCTGGGAGTTGAAGTCCACGAGTCATAAAAGAGCCGAGGTCGCCTACCCCTGGTCTAGGGGGTTAAGGTACTAGGCTAGAAACCAGGAAATAAGGGAGTTCTAGTCTGGCCTTAGCCATGAAAGTCAGCTAAATGGCTTTGGGCCAATCACCAGGAGACTGGAAGTTCTAGTCCCATCTTAGGCATGAAAGTCAGCTAAATGGCTTTGGGCCAATCACTAGGAGACTGAGAATTCTAGTCCCGCCTTACGCATGAAAGCTAGCTGGGTGACTTTGGGCCAATCACCAGGAGACAGTGAGTTCTAGTCCCACCTTAGGCATGAAAACCGGCTGGGTGACTTTGGGCCAATCACCAGGAGACTGGGAGTTCTAGTCCCGCCTTAGGCATGAAAGTCAGCTAAATGACTTTGGGCCAATCACCAGGAGACTGGGAGTTCTAGTCCCGCCTTAGGCATGAAAGCTAGCTGGGTAACTTTGGGCCAATCGCCAGGAGATGGTGAGTTCTAGTCCTGCCTTAGGCATGAAAGCCGGCTGGGTGACTTTGGGCCAATCACCAGGAGACTGGGAGTTCTAGTCCCGCCTTAGACATGAAAGCTAGCTGGGTGACTTTGGGCCAATCACCAGGAGACTGAGTTCTGGTCCCGCCTTAGGCATGAAAGCCGAATGGGTGACTTTGGGCCAATTACCAGAGAATTGTGAGTTCTAATCCCACCTTAGGCATGAAAGCCAAATTTTGGGCAGTCCCTCTCTCTCAGCCCAGGGGGGAAAATCGGAGGACAAAATGATATTATGTATGTTTACCACCTTTAATTATTTGTAAAATAATAAAGGTGGGATAAAAATCTAATCAATAAATTAAAAACTTTAGGCTTATATTTTCTACTCCCCCCCTCCCTAAACTATTTATTTTTCATTTAAACACGTGAGCCCCTTTATAATTTTTAGATCACTTTTGGGCTCTGTTGATCATGTTCCTTAGGCCGTTATTAGATACGATAGACCATATTTCTCAACCGTGGCAGCTTTTGGATGGATGGATTCCAACTCCCAGAATTCTCCAGGAAGAAGGTAAAACACAGAGACCTTGAGGGGCCTGGAGTTCTAATCCTGTAGGGCCCAGCTGTCAATCATCCTCCCTGCCTCGTCTTTTGACACCGCGATGACGAAACTGCCCTGTTGCAAAACACCAACGTGCAGCATCACTTTTATTTGCAAGATTTGCTTAGGCTCTTTAGAGATTCCCCGAAGTACGAAATACGGAGGAGAAATTTATCTTCCATTCCCCACCGTCCAGTCAGAACCGAAGAAGCTCCCTGGATGAGAAGTGAAACGTCTTCAAAGAAAAACAAAGTCTGGTTGCCTCGTGGAAAAGCATCTTTGGGACAAGGACGACCTGGATGGCTGAGAATCTCCCTATATCAGGGGTCCTCAACCTTGGCTCTTTTAGGACTCGTGGACTTCAACTCCCAGAATTCCTGAGCCAGCATGGCTCAGCTTGGAAACCTCTCCCTTTCCCCTCAGCGTGGCTGGCTCAGGAATTCTGGGAGTTGAAGTCCACGAGTCACAAAAGAGCCAAGGTTGCCCACCCCTGCCCTAGGCCTAGACATTTAGAGCATCTATTCTCGTTTCCTGGCTGGTTTATGCTGACTATAGTTTTGGCACAGATGACAAGGAATAAATACCCCATTTTCTTCACGAGAAGCATCATCTGAATATGGGAACTTTACAAGCACATTAAGAACGCCAACACATCAACTGCTGGATCTCACAGGATGCTTTAAACAGGTCGGACTGCTTCACCAGCTGCATTCCTGGGACTTCCTGTGCTGGATTAGCATTAAAGGTAGAAATTTTAAGAGAGTTTACCTGATGTGCCAACTCAGCTCTTTGGATTAATTGGTAACCTGAGGCACAGCGCACACTTCCACAGGAAGTTGGGCATGTTAATAATAACAATAATAATAAGAATTCTGCAAGAAATATCACTTGCCTGTAAGCAAGAACTGGTGGGATCATAAAATAGAGAAAATCATAGAAAATGATAAAGTTAAACTGCTCTGGGACTTCAGAATTCAAACAGACAAGCACCTGCAACATAACACCCCGGACTTAACAATTGTCGATAAGAAAGACAAAAAAGTCTGGATAGTGGACGTGGCAGTGCCTGGAGACAGCAGAATAGACGAAAAAGAACTGGAGAAGATAACAAAATACAAAGACCTACAAATAGAAATAGAAAGACTGTGGCAAAAGCAAGCAAGGGTAGTACCAATAGTAATAGGTGCCTTGGGTGCAATCCCCAAACAACTGGAGCACCACTTGAACACCACCATTGGCATTGACAAATTCGCCATTAGTCAATTGCAAAAGGCGGCCTTACTAGGAACCGCTTCCATCCTGCGACGAGATCTGTAATACCATCAAACATCCACATCTGCCTATCCCAGGTCCTGGGTAAGGACTCGATAGGTAGACAAAAATGCCAACTCCAGCCTGAACATCTGGCTGACTGTGCGATGATCATCAATAATAATAATAATAATAATAATAATAATAATAATAATAATAATAATAATAATAATAATAATAATAATAATAATAATAATAATAAAGTTGGAAGGGACCTTGGAGGTCATCTAGTCCAACCCCCTGCTCAGGCAGGAAACCCTATACCATTTCAGACAAACAGCTGTCCTGTATCTTCTTGAAAACTTCCAGTTGCATGAATGTAACTAGAGTGCCAGACCAGTGTTTCACAACCGTGGCACAATTGAGCCCAAAATTTCTGTTGTTAAGTGAGTTTTGCCGCATTTTACGGCCTTTTTGCCATAATTGTTAAGCGAATCATTAAGTCAGTAACATGGGTTGTTAAGTGAATCCGGCTTCCTCATCGGTTTTGCTTGTCAGAAGGTCGCCAAAGGGGATCGCGTGACACACCCCCCAGGACACTGCGACCGTCATAAATACGAGCCAAGCGTCTGAATTTTGATCACGTGCCCGTGGGGATGCCGAAATGGTCCTAAGTGTGAAAAACGGTCATAAGTCCCTGTTATCAGTGTCGTTGTAACTTCAAACGATCACTAAACGAAAGGTCGTTAAGTCGAAGACTACCTGGGCGGGCTCCTGCTTTGGGAATGATCAGATAAGAGGCAGGAGCCCACCCAGGTAGTCCTCGATTTAGCAACCATTCGTTTAGTGACCATCCAAAGTTACAGTAGCACTGCAAAGAGCAACATGGCTATCTCTCTCCCCTTTGTCTCTTGAGGTCATCTACACTGTCCCCTTACTCTGATTTTCTGCTGAGTCTTGCCTAATTCGGGCTTTCTCGCCCCAATCTGTTTCTGCAGGTGGAAGAGGAGATTGGCACCCTGCGCCAGGTGTTGGCAGCCAAGGAGAGACACTGCGGGGAGCTGAAGAGGAAGCTGGGCCTGACCCCCTTGGATGACCTGAAGCAAAACCTCTCCAAGAGTTGGCACGACGTCCAGGTTTCTAACGCGTAGGTGGTCCCTTCTTTGCCATCTTGTATGTTGTTGTTGTTGTTATTGCACACAGGGCAAGCACTGGAGACTTACGGCAGAAGAGGAGAAGGTACAGGAAGTGCTCGACTTAAGACCGTCCAAAATTAGCACGGACCTGCCTTGGGGCTACTTATGTCCCGATTCAAAATTACAGCAGTTGGGCCCCCCCTCTTCCTCTCCCCCCCCCCAGCATTCTCATGACCACTTGGCAGCCAAGCCACATTTGTGCCCCTTTGCAGCATCCCGTTGTGACCTGACCACATTTTAATAATAATAATAATAATAATAATAATAATAATAATAATAATAATAATAATAATAATAAAGTTGGGAGGGACCTTGGAGGTCATCTAGTCCAACCCCCTGCTCGGGCAGGAAACCCTACACCATTTCAGACAAATGGCTGTCGAGTCTCTTCTTAAAAACTTCCAGTGTTGGAGCATTCACCGCTTCTGGAGGCAGGTTGTTCCACTGGTTAATTGTTCTGTCAGGACGTTTCTCCTTAGTTCTAGGTTGACAGTTTCACCGAAACCCGGCATGTCCTTTTAACTTTGGCAAAACTCATAGCCAATCCTTGGTTCTCTTAATTAACTTGGGCATTCGCTTAACCACCACCCTAAAAACGGCTCTTCTTATTGTATTGGTCATGTGACTGACCTATTTTTATGACCATGATGGGCAGGCTCTATTACGGTCGTAAGTTCAGGACTGCCTGTACTTTCCTTCCATTTCCTTCCTCATGTTGAATCTGCGGTCCTCGGGCCATTGACTTACATTCTGGGTAAGGCTTCCAGTGCTCACTGGGGCATACAGGGTCTTGCCCAACGTGGCTCCTCCAGGGGCGTTAGAAACACTTGGCATCCTGGGAGTTGTAGTCTGAGGGTGTCCGTAGGGCTCCCAACTATGGAAGGCCTGCGTATCCGGGAAAGGATTGTTTTTCTCTGAATCACAGGCCTTGATCCCCCTGTGATTTTGAGCATTTATTTATTTTATTCAGCTTCATTTATTAAGTTTCGCTTACACCTTTATTAAATTTCATTTATTGAATGCATTCCATTTATCAAATTTTATTTATTCAATTTCATTTATTGAATTTTATTCAATTTCATTTTATTCAGTTTCATTGAGTTTTCAGTTTCATTTATTCAATTTCATCTATTGATTTTTATTTTTTTCAATTTCGTTTATTCAGTTTCATCTATTGGATTTCATTTATTCAATTTCATTTATTCAATTTCATTTAATAATTTCATTTATTGACTTATTAAATTAAATTTCACTTATTGAATTTTATTCAATTTCATTGAATTTTATTCAGTTTTATTTATTCAATTTCATCTATTGAATTTTATTTTTTTCAATTTCATTTATTCAGTTTCATTTATTCAATTTCATTTATTTCATAATTTCATTTATTGGCTTATTAAATTAAATTTCATTTATTGAATTTTACTCAATTTCATTTTATTCAATCTCACTGAATTTTACTCAGTTTCATTTATTCAATTTCATCTATTGAATTTTATTTTTTTCAATTTCGTTTATTCAGTTTCATCTATCGGATTTCATTTATTTATTCAATTTCATTCGATTTCATTTATTCAATTTCATTCATTTCATAATTTCATTCAAGGACTTATTAAATTTCGTTTATTTGCTTATTAAACTTGTAGGCCGCCCGCCTCTCCCTGCCAAACCACCCTGGGCAGCTGACAGCGCCATAAATAACAGAATAAAACCTTGGCAGGATTAAAACGTCAGACGTTAAAAGCGAACACATTAAAATAGAGATGGAAAACAGATCAAAAGAACCCAGACGTAGACGGGGTGGAGGTGAGATCTTCTACAAATGTACTAGCTGCCTCCAAAATGTTAGGGCTCTCCTTGGAATCCTGCTCACCAGGAAACAGATGAAACTGGCCCATTTGGGGTATTTTTCATTCGATGGATAATAAATTATGGTTTGTCTCTGCACAGATGTCAACGTGACGTGTGCTTTGGGGACATGAGCTAGCCTCAAGGGCATTGTACCTTGCAGTGCTATGTTGTGTTGTTTTTTCTCTCAGGAACATAATCCAGATCTATCTTCCAGCTATTCTTCTTTTTCCTGACAGAAAAATTAATCGGGAACAGCACCCAGAAGTTGTGTTTTTTTTTTCCCTTGAAGATGTTTCATTTTTCACCCGAGAAGCTTCTTCAGTTTTGACTGAACTGAAGAAGCTACTTGGATAAGAAGTGAAATGTCTTCCAGGAAAAAAAAAGTCTCCACAGACATCCATCACTGGAGGCTTTTAGGAAGAGATTGGACGGCCATTTGTCTGAGATGGTCTAAGGCAGGGGTAGGCAACGTTGGCTCTTTTATGACTCGTGGACTTCAACTCCCAGAATTCCTGAGCCAGCATGGCTCAGCTTGGAAACCTCTCCCTTTTCGCTGAGCGTGGCTGGCTCAGGAATTCTGGGAGTTGAAGTCCACGAGTCATAAAAGGGCCAAGGTTGCCTACCCCTGGTCTAAGGTCTCCTGCTTGAGCAGGGGGTTGGACTAGAAGACCTCCAAGGTCCCTTCCAACTCTGTTATTCTGTTGGAGACTCCATGGATAATACAGCCACCTGGGCTTCTTGACCACAAGATCATAGACGTCATCTAAGACAGCATTTCTCAACCGTGGCAATTCTAAGAAGTGTGGACTTCAACTCCCAGAATTCCCCAGCCAGCCACCCCTCTATGGTTCATTAAAGGCCCCCGTCTTCTTTTTCCAGGATCCTGGATGAGTTGAGAAAAATGACAGTATTTTTTTCTGAGGGACCATGCCAGGCAATGTCAAAGCAGCCTTTGTCAATCTTAGCAACTTGCTGCCTGGCTGGGGAATTCTGGGAGTTGAAGTCCACCCATCTTAGAATCGCCCAGGTTGAGCAACACTGATCTAGGATCCCTTCCGCCTCTGTTATTCCTCCTCTTGGGATTATTTTTTCCCTCTCCCAAGCTCCTAGTCCCCATTTAAAAAAAAAACAAACCTGTGATTGACCCCTGGGTTTTTCCCCCCAGCTATGTGAAAACCTCTGACAAACTCGGAGAGTGGAATGAAAAAGTCACCCAGTCGGATTTGTGAGTTCCTTCCACCTTGCACGGCAGCCATTTTCTTCTTCTTCCTGGCTCTGTCGCCCTCTCGGCCCTGCGCCCCCTTATTTTGGGGGACACAAAGGCTGCTTGTGCGCTTGGAATATGGCAGACTCCTGTCGAGGCCTTTTGCTTCTTAATTTTCTGATTTATTCTTCGCTGGGAAATGCGTTTCTAGGCCATGCTGGACGCTGAATATCTTTCCCTGGGGTTTCCTGATCCCAAAAAAAAGAGAAGTTCCACTCAGCAGATCAGACAGGAAAAGAAAGTCATTTATATTTCAGCGTTATTCCCACTTCCCGTTTTGCTGCAGGGCAAAACGGGGTACGGGCGATCCTCGACTTACGACCACAATTGAACCCGACCTTTCCGTAGCTCAGCGAGACAATTGTGGGGTTTTACCCGACTTTACGCCACTTCTTGCCATAGTTGTTAAGTTAATGGGACGGTTGTAAAGTGAATCTTAATTCCCCCCCTGTTGACTTTGCCTGTCGGAAGGTCGCAAAAGGGGATCACGTGACCCCCAGGGAGGCTGCCCCCGTCATAAATACGAGTCAGTTGCCCAAGCATCCAAATTTTGATCACGTGACCCTGGGGGAGGCTGCAAGAGTTGTAAGGGTAAAAAACAGCCGCAAAAAAAAGTCACTCGTTTCGGTGCCGTTGTAACTTTGAATGGTCATTAAATGGACTGTTGTAAGTCAAGGACTACCTCTACCGTTGTAACTTCAAACGGTCACTAAATGAATGATGGTAAGTTGAGGACTCCCTGTATTTTTTTAAAAAAAATTTGATACCTTAGCACAGGGGTCTTCAAACACGGCCCTTTTACGACTGGTGGACTTGCATGACCCCTCCTGGACGCTGCGACCGTCGTAAATATGAACCAGTTGCCAAGCGTCCAAATTTGGCTCACGTCACCGTGGGGATGCTGCAATGGTCGTAAGTGTGAAAAACGGTCATAAGTCACCTTGTTTCGAGGCCGTTGTAACTTCGCATCCGTGGTTGGTAAACCGAGGACTACCTGTAATGGAAAAAAAATTAGGAGTGGCTGGCTTTGGGTGTGATCTTTGCAACTTCCTATTGTGTCAATATCATTTCCGTCCTTAGCCTGGTGTCCTTAGTAGCTGAGGTTACGTTTTTATAGTTGTGGTATTGCGGTCTGTGGCTCGCAGGCGGAGATTCAACAGGGCTGTCGGTGTCACATCCTGCTTGGAGCATGAAAGGGGAGGCTTTAAGCATGAAACCTTTCTCAAACCGCTCAAAGCAGCCTGTTTGCAGAGGGGCAGCTGAACCCAGGAAGCAGAACGCTTGAAATGAAATGCCGCCCCTCGCAATGAAGAACTTGCGCACACACACACACACACACACACACACACACACACACACACCGGTAAAAGTTCTTGGAATTGCGGGGAAATCTTTTGTCCGCTTAAAGCTGGTCCTTGAAAACTTCACCTTTAAACCCAGCTGAACAAGAAGTTAGTCAAGTGCTTCCTGCTTAGGATCATGCCACGTGAGAAAAAAGTTCTTCCGTATCCAACATGGCAGGAAGTGTAAAATGGTAATACTATAAGGGTCTCCTGCTTTGAGTAGGGCTGGGGGGGGGGGTTGGACTAGAACAGGGCTTTTCAACCTTTTCACCCATCGTACCACTTTTAGGATATGGCAACATCCGAGTACCACCAGTCGCCTAGCAAGGTGTCAAAAACCTGATGACCAAAAAAAAGGAAAAAAGCGATAAAGTACAGGTAGTCCTCGACTTACAACAGTTCGCTTAGTGGCTGTTCGAAGTTACAATGGCACTGAAAAAAGTGCCCCCCAAGCCACAGCCGAGCAAGACACCTGCCTGCCCGCCCGGTGGCG